TCATCTCTGATCGCCATGCCGGTATAAGGGCTTCTATCTTAGGCTTGGATCCAACCTGGAATTGGTCACAGAGATGGTGCATACGGCATTTCAAGAGCAACTGGAACCATCATTTCAAGCGAAAGAAGCTTGCTGATAGTCTATGGTGGATCGGTAAGCGTTCTATTTAATTGGTCTATATCTTTTGTTAACTGGAAAAACGAGGACTAAATCAATACAATACAACACTTATTTAGACTCTTTATAAAGTAATGCATGCCTAAGCAAATGGGGTTTTAAGCGATCATCATGATCCTCCCATTTCCTGGGAAAATCGGGTTCTAAGCGATCCTCGGATCCCCTTTTTTCTGTCAAACAGGCTGTGTTTCTAAGGAGATGTATACCTCTCCTAAGAGTCTTACGAATGTACTTGTACTGTTCATAACGGAAGCCTTGCTTACCTTACGCTTTTATTCATATATTCATCAGCTGTTAGGTCATCATCCCACCAATCGGACTTAGGCGGGAAACAGGTCGCCCGTGGGTAAAAAGGATTCCAAATGAGATGGATCAAAGTGGAAGACCACCGCGAGTGCCGAGGAGGTGTGCCATATGCAAAGTACCAGGGCATGATAAACGAAAATGTCCCGGACCAATTGGTCCTCAAAATCCAGGGCCCGATGTGGTGAACCCGGATAATGGCGCATAAATTGATTTCATGCATTTTCACAGATTGTATTAATTTCAATGGTTACGTACTTGTATTTTGTGTGCTTAAATGGCATAGGAGATTTCCAAAATTAACACAATTTGATGCAATGTTCCATCTTTTTAAACAAACACATCACTCACACAAACATACTTCTACATGAAGTAAAAAATAACTTCAAATAATAACAACTTGTTTAACTTAACTTAAACAAAACATAACTTGAAATAGACACAACTTGTCACACTCATGCATTATTTCGATGATTTGCCATCTGTTTCCTTGTGCGATGGGCGACTGGTCCAGTAGGTGTAATAGGGGTCGGAAGTGGTGGAAGATTCCTATTCACAGTAGAAGGGCATTGGTCCGTGCTATGCCGCCGCGGTGCCGTGCTAGGTAACCCCTCCGTGTGCGGTCGAGGACTATCGACGCTCATACGGTGGGGAGTGGACTGCCATTGTTGTTGCGGTCGATGCAAAGGTGAGAAGTCTTGGTGGGGACTTGAGGATGAACCATCAGCCCAAGTAGCCGAGGATGTGGCGTCATGATATGTACTTGGCCGGGGATCATGGCGTCAAAAATATCCATAACCGTGGATATCCACCCGAATCCGACCTAATCGGGTAGGGTAAAACCCGAACCCGAAGCATTTTTCATGGGTACGGGTAAAACCCGAACCCGAATATTGCGGGTAATGGGTGGGCATGGATATCTCACTATCCAACCCGAACCCGCCCGATTATACACATGCATATGTATTTTGTCTAGAAATAATCATTATTTTTCCCTAGAATATTTTATATTTAGCATATAAATATAATATTTTCATGAAATTATGTTGTTTTAATTAATTTTCGTCATTCTAGTGAATTATTGTCGTACTTTTCCTCTTATGTAATGTGAATATACGTGTGAATGTTAGCATATTGGTTGGAATTATAAGGAGAAATTATTACCCATGGATAACCGTGGATACCCGAAACCCGAACTGGTATGGGCATGGTTTTGATTTTCTACCCGTTTCTCGTGTGGGTACGGGTATGGGTAAAACCCGAACTACATTGGGTAGGGTAACGGATATGCACTATCCGCCCCGACCCGACCCATTGCCATCCCTAGTGGGTTTATATAGGGACGAAACCGCGTGCTGGAGGGGCAGTTTGGTCTTTTTACCCCACGCAAAATCGCGCTTCCAGCGGACGGTTTACGATTCCCAACGTGCAAACCGCGCTTTAGGGCAACTGTTTCCCGTAGGCGATGTTGATCGCTCCGCTGGCAGGCGGTTAGGCCGTCAGATCGCCTGCCCATCGTGCGGTTGCATGGGCCGCCATGTGGAGGCGTGTTTTGTTAGCTGCCCAATGACAAACCGCCCCTTACTCGCGCGGTTTGACTGAGAACTGCGCCTTCGAAGCGCGGTATATGGAGAAGGATGGTATTTTTGAAAATTCTTGGGAATGGAAGATATTTTTGTAATTTTTTTTAAAACAATGGTAATTTTGGACTTTTTCCTCTTATATGTACCCCCACCTCTTTTTTCCGTACTAGAATTTTTTCTTTCTTGCACTTTTTTAATAGCCGACACCGCCTTAAAATTTTAAGTTATTTTCCTTTCCCGTGTTTTATTAATTGTTTACTCGTACAAACTTCATGTATAAATACCCCAACTCTCCGAATCCAGATCACGCCAGCGCCCAATGCTGAACTAGGGCTGCCCTCTTCTCTTCTCTTCTCTTCTCAAACCCTAAAATCCCAACTCCACATATTCTTCACTCCATCCCAGTCGGCTGTCGCAAACGTAGCGCCGTAGCGGCATGAGCATCGACGATCCGTGAATCCGAGCCAACCCGCCCGTTTTGTGGCATTATATTCTCCGATCACCGCCGGTACCCTCAACCGTGGCGTGGTGATTGATCTCTGCGACTAGGCCTCGTATTCTTCTTCAGGCCTGAGACAGCTCGTTGCCGCCTGCCGTCGTTGTTCTTCAATCCCCAGTTGCCTGTCGATCTCTGTCATTGGAAAGGATGAGGTATCTAATTAATATTTGCTTCTTCTTTTTATAGAAAAAAAAAATTTGATTGGTTCCTTCCAGGATTGGAAGATTGTAATTTGAAGTTTAAAAGTTTAATTAGGGCATCCTACACATGTGATTCGTTTAATTTAAATCTAGATTTGGCACTTGTTTACAGTGATATAGGCTAGAATTATAAATACTTGATGCATTTGTATACACATACAGATTTGTCTTTATAATGGTTATAATATATGAAATTTATTGTTATAACGAAAAAGTTGAGAAAATTTTAAGAGTAAATTTTGAATTGTTTTATTTTGTTAGAATAGAAAGTAGGTTTCAGGGTTAATTGATTAGTACACTGTGATTACAGATTCCAAGCACTAGGCTGTGGTCATGAATCATGCGAGGAGTGTATGGATAATGATGATGAGGTGGAGATCCTAGAGTCTGCTGCGACTGCTAATAAGTACTACCACCATCGTCTGGTGTCCTCCAGCCGCCTACACAAGAAAGATCCGACGTCGGATAGGGCGTCCTACAGGGCAACTCTCACTAACAAGACCAAGAGGAAGAAGAAGAAGAAGATGAAAGTGGTCAGGGACCAAGTGCACTACTTCTACCTCTAGTACAACGTACTGGCGGCTTAATTTCTCTGCATTTCCCAATCCTATGCTGCGAAAAGGGCACTTTAATATTTCCTTTATGTTTTAGATTGGCTAGGGTTTTCAGTTTGGAATCTATATATTACCACTTATTATTATGATTCAGCCAGATTATCGAATAATAAAGAATTCAAATAAGGGTGTCTTTCATATTTCTTCCTCTCCCCTCTTCCAAATTTCTTTACCAAACCCTCACCATAGTCGATTCTCACATTACATCATAAAAATCCTTCACTCCGTATCTATGTAATCAATTTAGCCACCGTTTTCTCTTACGGAAAATCATAAGATCCATGGCTGCTTTTATTTTTTTAGGAAATACAATTTGTTTATTAACAAAATGTTTCTAACTATTAGAAAGAAAAAAAAAAAATTTGAAATACAAAACATTAGCTAAATCTTTTGTAACACATCAAAATATTAACCATTTGTATGCTACCGTTAGTAACTCTTTTGTTAATTAAAATACTAAAATTATGAAATGTTGTCTACCAAATTTTTCTTCCAAATCATCATCATATTACCAAGTCAGCATTACTAACAAAATTGTCAAATGGAGTTACTGTTTGACTAATACTTGTATTTCAAAAGATTTAACTAATAAATTATATTTATTATAGTCTTTTTTCCCCCAAAAAATGACAACTTACAATAGTTTTATAAATAACCTCTACCCATGATCCATCTAAAATCAATGAGACTGATCATGGCTTATGGAACCCATCTTAAACCATTTCCATGTGACACGACAGGTATGATGATATTAATTATTTAATTAATAAAAAAATAATAAACCTTATTAATCCAATTCACTCCGGCGCCGCAAGGCTGAAATTTGTCTCCAGGTTCGAAACCCTAGCTACCTATCCTCAAATTCGGAAGTCCGTTCCACTTCCATATCCCACCTCCGTCACCCGAATCGGTTCCCGGCGTCTACACTTCAATCCCGTCGATCGATGATCCTCCATCTCGCGGCTCGATCGGACTCGGCGACAGCATGCGTTCACAGGAAGAGGTAAGATCAGACTTCAGAGTGCGTCGTATACAGTTTAATCTTCACACTACTCACTTGCTTCAATTTTGTTGTTATTTTCCGTTCCCCAGCTCTGAATCCTGGTCCGCTATGTTGCCGGTGTCAAAAGATTACTCTCAATTGCCGGAGGCCCTAATCCTGAAAATCATCGGGGAGCACTTTGACACCGTTACCCAACTCATCGCCTTCCCCGCCGTTTGCAAGCTATGGAGAACCCTAGCTCTCGAATTCAGCCGCAACCGCCCTACCACTCCTCGTCCGCTCCAACCTTGTCTCCCAGGACTCTTCGTCTCTCAAGAAGCAGCATCATCCAAATGGCAGAGCGCCGGCACTCGCAAACGCGGCCCGACCCATGACTTCTTCCCCTTCACCACCATCTTCAAATCTCACCACCGCGATTCCTCAGCGTCGCCGCCGCAGCCGCCACCCAAATTCAGACGCAATCCCATCAATCTCCGCGACTTCTTGTTCTTACCCCTGCCCTCCGATACGGCGATTGACTCTGCCTCACTTCAGGGGAAATTACTATGGCGATATGCAGAGGCAACATTATTTGTCTTCTAAAGACGGGTGGCTCCTCCTCATCTCGGACCAAATGAACCTCTACCTCCTTAATCCCATCACCAAATCCACCGTGTCCCCTTCCCTCCCCTGCCTCTGCGAGCCAACAGGGATTGCATAACAGCAGCCGTCCTTTCTAACTCCCCGGACATCGACGAATGCTACGTTTTCCTTGTGTTCAAGTGGTCCACGGTCAAATTGGCGTGGTGCAAGGCCGAGGCGGGGGAATGATTGGAAGCTCATGAGCCCGTCTCCGTGTAGCTTCCACGGCTGGATCGGGGCAGCAGACTACTTCGGAGGCAACCTCTACGTTACGGACGGCTGCAAGTTGCAGATTCTCTCAAATGTACGGGCTCGGATAGAATAACAACACTCTTAGTATTGTTATTATAACAACAAAATTCATTAAGGGTAAAAGGGTAAATTAGATAGAAAATAAGTTAATTAAATTCACTCACCTTTGTCAGATCTCATCACCCTCTCCGCCGCCTCCGAACACGAATTATTCCAACTCGCCGGCCACGGAATCGCCGCCCAACTCAACCTGTCCGCCGAGTCGGAATCGCTCGCTCTGTTCGAACTCCCCTACGACAAAAAGGAAATGCAGTTCCCGAGGAACTGGCCTCTGGGATTTGAGCTCGACGAAGAGGCCAAGATTAGGGTTGTCCTATCGCCGCCGATCAAAACCGTCTCTCCGCCACCTTCGTCGCCGCCGTCGAGTGGGGACTCGCCTCCTCTTACCCCAGACTACTACTATCGCTAATCGCGTTGCAGCTAGCACTCTCCGCCGATTGGTTTTTGCAGCGGAGTTCGTGGAAATTACAGTCCCCGCTTTGCAATCGGACAACGAAGAATCATACCCGCTGCGGCAGGGTTCGGCGTTAGAACGAAAATTTGATGATTGGACTTGGAATGAAACAAAATTAGCCGAATTAGGTTATAACGACGAGTGGGTCGGTGGGGGGACGACGGCGGCGGCTGGTCCCGACTATCGAGGTGTTGAGCGACGACGACGGAGGTGGTGATTCGGTCAAGATTCGCCAGCCTTCAGTGATGAAAATATTTGTAGTGCTTCTACCCGTTTCAGAAATCTGTATCTACAACCGTCATTCTCTGATAATGATCATCACTTGCATTGAACACAGTAGCATATATGAAAGAGGCGGCGCTTGCTAGATTCATGAACTGGAGATGATTAGGGTTGTTAGATTACACGATGGCTAAATTCATCAACTGCATGCAGTTTGGTTTCCCCCCGCCTGCTGAGGTGATGTAGAGAGAGGGAAATGACCATATTTAACAAGAGATTCTCTCTTCTGATTGATTGATGACGACCTCCCATGTAATCTGTATATAAGTCAAAACTGCACTTGCTCAGCTTGTTGTTCTCTGTGAAAGAAAACGCCAAGCTGAGGGGAAAAGGAAGGAGGTGGAGGGGTGTTTATACGAGGGACAGGAAAGGAAGGGTAACAGGAAAAAGTGGAGGAAGATTTCAGTAGTATTTTTTTACCTATACTTGAAGGGATCAGAAACACCACAAAAAAAAACCAGAAATATTTCTAAAGCACACCAGAAACTTCATAATACAAAAGACAAACACAGTAAAAAAACCACAAAAAAGCGTACCAGAAACCTCCCAATGCTTACCACAAATTCCCTAAAACAAACCACAAATACCACAAACCAAACCACAAATATTTTGAAAGCACACCAAAAAACTCATAACGCAAACCATAAACCGTAAAGCAAACCACAAAAACAAACCAGAAACGTCCTAATGCAGACAAAAAATGTATTAAAACAAACCAGAAACCTCACAAAGCAAACCACAGAATTTTCAAAAACACACCAGAAACCTCATAATGCAAACCACAAATACGTTAAAGCAAACCACAAAAACAAACCAGAAACCTCCTAATGCATACCACAAATCTCCTAAAACAAACCACAAACCCCTCAATGCAAAACACAAAATTTTTGAAAGCAAACCAGAAACTTCTCAATGCAAACCACAAACACGATAAAACAAACCAGAAACTTCTCAATGCAAACCACAAACGTGATAAAGCAAACCACAAAAGGCTTACAAAAATGTGAGAAACCAAACCATAAATCTCACAATGAAGACCATAACATCCGGTGGTCGTTGCCCGTTGACCGGTCAACGAAGTTCGTTGACCAAACTCCGATAACCGTCAGTGAGCAGATTCCGACGCCGATAGGCATATTCCGGCCCCGATGACTAGATTCCGATGCTGGTAAGCATATTCCGACGCCGGTAAGCATTTTCCGGTGACGGTGACATATTCTGATGAGAAAATAGCATATTCCGGCAATGAAAAGCATATTCCGGTGATCGGAGACCAGATTCCGGCGATCGAATTCCGGCTACCAAAATTTTGAGCGGAAAATAAAAAAAATATTTTTTTATTTTTTTTATTTTTTCATAATGACAATTATACCCCTGCTTTGATTTTACACTAGGTCAACTCAACTAATAAAAAGTCATCACAACCATAAGTTCCTATTGGTTGGAGACTAGTGTTGTTACAATAACAACAAAAGGAGTGTTGTTATAGTATCTAGTCCCCAACGTAACAACAGCAACAACAACTTTAACTTGGTTGGCTACTCCGAGGGCGGGGCCTAAAGTGGGATCCTTCCAACTCCCTACGGATAATGACGACGGCGATGATGATTCAGATCAAAGTGTCTATTCAGTAAACTTTTCTTTTTGCAGGACAGATTACTACTTGGCCAACCTCGGCGGTCAGCTCCTGATGATCTTGCGCCATCCAGAGGACTACCATTACAAGGTGTATAAGCTAGATAAAGAGGTATCATCAGGAGACTTCGTGGAAGTAATTGGTTCTGATCGCAGTGGTAATAACTACTGGACCCAAGTGACGGACTTGGAAGGATATGCTATGTTCGTTGGATCACACCAGGCCTTTACCCTTCCTGCCAATCACGGGATAAAAGGGAACTGCATCTACTATGTTAGGAAATGTGGACACAACCAGTGTGGTGTCTACAATCTTGGTGATAGAGCCATCGAAAGGTTAGGTCATCGCAGAAGGATACGTTCCTTTTGGTTTCAACCCATGCCAAGATACAGAATTTCGATTCATATGCGTGTCTCCATTCGATCGATCCATAGATCTCCATTGTTTGATACGTGATGGATTGGATATCTCCCTTTTCTTGGCGGGATTGAACCAGTTTTCTCCTTTCTTGGCGAGAAATGACCAGAGGGTTTCTTTGCTAAAATTCGGCTTACTTTTATTGAATCCAATCTCAACTTAAATACACAAAAAAATGGAATTGAAAAGGCCTATCTAAGTGGATCTAATCCCACGTCTATCTACCGTAACCAACTAACATAAGATGCTAAACCCACTAAACCCACTCCACCTATTATGCAAAACACTCCTAAATACTCTAACAAACACATGACTCTCTAACTAACTACCAACCTGCTCAACACTACTAACTAATTCAAATAATGGAAACTCTAATATATCTATGTATCATTCCTTCCCCCTTCCGAAGAACCTTGTCCTCAAGGTTCGAGTTAATTAGCTAATTAATTCAACCCATACTCAACCCGAATGAACGCAAAAGAAGGTTGTTGGTTGCAATACTTCCAATTGTGCTCGACCCCTTCCACACAGCTCCTATCACCGAGAGCTCCAGCTTCCCATGATAGGTCCTGGTGCACTTCATCACTTCCTTCTTCCTTTGCAGAGGGCATTGGAAGTCCCTGATCAAACCCAGCCTTCTCGTCTCTATCTGTATGTTCCACTAGGCATATCATACGACCACCCAAGCCTTGAGTTCTAGCAAAAGCGAATTCACCAACAGCTCCTGAAGCTACCCTACTAAGTTGCTCACCACCCACACTCCGAATAATTGACTTTAATGAACGTTCACCTTTTTCAATTGCTTTCTCATGCAAGAAACAAGTCCACCCACTTCCCTTTCCTTCCTCCACGCTTGCAATGACGAGGGTTGATTAGTTGGCCTCCAAGAGCTGGCGCCCCATCAATATTGCTCAACAATGGTGCTCTCACCTTCCGCTCGCGTTTCACACCCCTCCAATCAACAACAAACGATCCCCTCACAGTTGATCGATCCTTTCGCCCGTATCCTCTAGCTCGGCCCATGATTGCACTTGTCACACAACCAATCAACCCCATATCAGCAACTCTACCTGCGGGCTTTTCCGGATCAACCCCATACCTCAAACAACCAGTCAATCCTCCGGTCCCTAGGCCGATATGGCTGCGGCTTCCCGTGATGTTGTGGCTTTGGCCGCCATCATTCTCCTGCTTCTTTCTATATTTCCAATTAACCCAATGACAATTGAGCGAGGTAAAGTGGTTATCGACGTCGGAACCTATTCCTCCCAACCTTCCCTCAACTCCACTAATGATGAACGAGGACGTGGGCTCTTGTCGCTCGAGGATAACGATGGGTTGTTGTTGTTCCTCGTACAGATGCTTTACTGCGCGACATGGTGGTACAAGAGCGGTGATAGCCCCGCTCTCGCGGACAACAGCGACGTCCGCCACAACTACATCGGGGGCATCAATGACATCTTTTTCCTTGGCCACGGTCGTCACGTCGGGCCTCAAGGCGATTTTTGCAGCTTTTTCCTCCCCTTTGTTCACGGCAAAATTGGGTGCGACGGTTGATCGTCCATCAATGGACAATGCAACATCGATGACAGGGGCAGATGAGGGCGGCTCCTCCTTGACGGTGAGTCCAAGTGTGGACGCGGTCAATAACGCTGGGGGTTCTTCAGTCACCTGAATCTTCTCGATGATAGCTGATGGAGGAGCTATGATAGCTGGGCCTCCACTGTGAAGCCGCTGAGTCTTCTTCCAATTTTCATCTATTCGTTGTTGGCTCTCCTTGATCCGTAGCAATTGCTCCCTGATTGAGAGCTTTGGCAAGCTCATCGTATCTCTGTGAGCTAAGCGTTGATCATCGGATCTGGTTGTTCGCACTTGAGCTAATTTAGTCAATGTAAGCTGCAAGGCATTCAGTTTCTCTTGAATCACCTGGAAGTTAGCTCGATAGTCGTTGTTGGCGGCCTCGAGGGCTTCGATTCGGTTGGCGTGAGTCCTGCTCATAGCAGGCTCTGATACCAAATGATACCTGATGGATTGGATATCTCCCTTTTCTTGGAGGGATTGAACCAGTTTTCTCCTTTCTTGGCGAGAAATGACCAGAGGGTTTCTTTGCTAAAATTCTGCTTACTTCTATTGAATCCAATCTCAACTTAAATACACAAAAACTGGAAATGAAAAGACCTATCTAAGTGGAGCTAATCCCACGTCTATCTACCGTAACCAACTAACATAAGATGCTAAACCCACTAAACCCACTCCACCTATTATGCAAAACACTCCTAAATACTCTAACAAACACATGACTCTCTAACTAACTACCAACCTGCTCAACACTACTAACTAATTCAAATAATGAAAACTCTAATATATCTATACGTATCATTGTTCTTTCTGATGATCTTCTGTTGATTTTCTCTCTTTCTTTGTGTATGATCAAATATCACAGGGATATGCACGAGTATGAGGAAGATGGTGATGAAGAAAAGATGGAATTGAAGGACAGTAAGGCCTCCTCCGGTGAGGAGGATGAATATGTTATCGGTCCCGGTTACAGATTCAAACCGCTGTTGCTGCCTGGAGTTCGTGAGCACCCTTATGATGATCATGAATATTTTTGATGACAGTGATGATGATTATAATTATCATCTTCATCCTTTGTATTACTATGAAGACGTGCAAGGCTTATATGATGAAACAGAGGCTACGTTTGTTGATCAAAAGTTCGACGGTCATGTTCCATTGTCAAGATCTAGCTGTAGAAAAGATCCCACGTCGTTGAGAAGAAGAAGGAAGTAATGAGATACAAAGGCGAACCAAAGCACTAATAAGGTAAAGCCTCTAACATAAGGCAGATATGTATTTGTAAAAGGAATTAAAATTCAATTCAAACTTGAAGCTAGATCACGTACTTTGACTTTTGGATGGGTCATTTGGTAGTAAATGACTCCTTTGTCAATGAGAAAATGAGTCATTTGATTAGATAATAAAAAAAACTCAAATTACTCAAATGAATTATTTGCAAATGATTTCCACTAGTAATTTGCAAAACCACATATGTGACAGATCTTAGTTTGTGAATTGAAATCAAACTGATATGAAAGTGGTAAACGAATTTTAGGATGTGTTTCTAGAAGACCCTCTTGGGAGCCAATCGAGCGGAAAGTGGATTTTAACATTGAGTTGGTACCTAGTACTGCTCCCCTATTAATCTCATTGTATCGAATGACACCAATTGAATTGAAAGAGCTAAAGAAACTGTTGTAGGAACTCTTAGTTAAAGAGTTCATCCGACCAAGTGTATCACATAGGGGGCACCCGTTCTATTTGGGAAAAAGAGAGATAGGTCTGTGCAATGTGCATTGATTATCAGAGATTGAATAAGGTGACAGTTAAGAATATTTATCCACTTCCTCGCATTGATGACTTATTTTTCCAATTGAAAAGGGCAACGATTTTTCAAAGATCAATTTGAGGTCTGATATCATCAATTGAAGGTGGAGGAAGAAACTGTATCATTACTTTTTCAAGAGTCTCCATCTACAAAAATCACTAAAAAATCGGCGGACATCCGTAACTCTTTTCTTATCATAAATAAGTAAATAAAACAAAACCAAAAGGATATAATCATACTCAAAAGAATTACATCCCTACAGGCAACCATCCTACACAGACATGTGCCAATAAACACGCGGCAAAGCGCGCATCACCGCATAGTATATAATCAAAAAGGAATCTATTCAGTTGATTAGATTCATAATTTCATATAATAGGTGTTGACAATCGTAATTAATTAGTTTCGACTTTTTATGTTTTGTAATTAGTCAATTTTTTAATATCAGTACGTAATAGTGCTCAAAATCATATAGACTATTTATAACCGGATGGATAAACATAACATGTCGCCGGCCACTATATGCTAAAGTTCTCTCGATGGCAAGGTGCCACCATGTTTGAAATACCAGTTCGGTAAAATATGAATAAGAATGATAATTAATATGTATGATCTATGACCTATCACATTGTCATTTTGATTATTAGCGTCAACAAAAGAAATAGAGATTATATAAATAAATTAGTAATCAATTTAGCAATTGGGTGAGAAAGAGTAAATTTCTTTTCGAGAACGATTCAGCCTTTCCGAACGTAGCATATATACAACTTGATCTCATTTGTACTGCCTCGCGGAAACACATTGCAGTCGCTGAGTTTTGGTCGGGATCTTTGCAAATCTGTGGGGAAAAAAAATCAAACACGTCAATTTCAATCGGGTATTCTTCGCGATTGTAAACGGTGTTGGAGAAGTGAGTCTCACTTTTAGTTGCTGATACCGACAACGAGGAATTAATCTTCTTCCTATGTATATGTATATATAAAAAAAAGTTTAGCCCCATATATCAAATCTCGAATGAACAAATTAGGGATAAACTTGATACAAATTTATAACATGCAAATTATATGCCAATAGCATAGTGATATTATTAAGGTGAACTTGATAAAAATTCCAAAGGGAAAACCTTAATTACAATTTATGAATTTACAAATGGTAACATACAATTAAGTCCAAATAGCAAGCAACCAGAAGTGGCAAAAGGCGGAGTAAGAGCTCTATAAGTAGCAGTAAGCCTTGTCCCTCACTACTTTCTTCTTCTTCTTCGCCGACATTTTTCTCTTCCTCAAAGTCGCCCTAAAAGACGACATAGGTCCTCTTCTTCTTCTTCGTAAACGATTGCCTAAACGTGTAAATTCGTCATCATCACTATCACCATGGAGACAATAATCATCACAACAATAATAATCATAGTAATCATCATCAGCTTCTTGTTGGTAGTGACTGTAGAAGCTGTAGTCGTCGTCATCATCGGTTGTATCGCTATCGTAAATAGGTTCGAATCTACATTGGTCGTCGTCGTCATAGTAATCATCCTCGTCCCCTGTGGCCCAATCATCTTGAGATAATATTTTTTTTTGCTTTTCTCGTACTCATGGATATCCCTACAAAGCAAGAAAGAAAGGGAAAATGTATTAACTAGACAACTAAACTAATCACATTTAGAGAATTAAATTTTTTTTTTTTTGATAATGATGAAAATGCATTGCCAAGAAAATACACCAGAGGTGTATACAGAGTACAGAAACAAAAACAAAAAACAAACTTAAGGGAAAAAGGAGGGGACACCCCACCAATTCGCCAAAAGAAAAGAAAAACCAGAGGAAGAGAACAGGGGGGAAACGAACTGGAAGCACAAAACAGAAGAAGCAAATCAGAAAAGCTCAAGAAGAGGGACACGCCCGAGCCATCAAACTCGACCACAATCTAGCCTCTTGCTCACTAATCATCCCCGCAGCCAATATCCAATGTCGAAGCGTGCATCCGATCCTGTGAAACACAGCCTGCCAGGACTTGCTCCTGTCATTGAACATTCTGCCATTTCGTTCTTTCCAAATCTCCCATACAAACGCATGAAGCAACAGCTGTCGAAACCAATCCGTCCAAACACAAGGATCATTGAAGCTCCAGCACCCAAACACTTGCTTCAGAGCATGCGGGAAGGGGCCCACTATGGACAGGACGCTCAAGAACCTGTCCCAAATCCTCATGCTAAACTCGCAACTTCTGAAAAGATGTGAAGTGGTCTCAGAATCAGATTCACACAACGCACATTTAGAGAATTAATTACTGGAGATTATTATGAACAACAACAACAACAACAACAAAAAGTTGATTACCTACCTTAGCATGGGTAGAAACCAAAATGAAGGTATTTCCCTCCTCCGATTGCGAAACATCTGGACCCTTCCATCGCGAAGATTGTTTCGCCACAGTGACGAGGATAACCCCGCAAAACATAACTAGTTTTTTTGCTCGCGTTTCACCGCGGTAAGAAATTAATTATATTTAAATCTTATCTAATTATTTAATGATTAAATATAATCAAATAATTCATAAAATTGTTTGGGTAAGATACCTTCATAAACTTTGCTTCGTGTATTAATCATTAAAAAATACTTACGTAATAGGTTGTTATCCCTCCATAGTCTTACATGATGTATTTTTAATTAACATTATTATTATAGAATGTTGTTATGTATATCTTCCGTAATTTGTGATCTAATAACAAATCAAATGATGAAAAGTATCATAAATAATTAAACTATTATATAAAAGTTAACCTACCTTATGATACATTAGCATAATGCTAGCTGATGAGATGATTATTAGTGTATTTAATAATTAATTAAACTTAGCTAATTATAAAAAAAAATAAGTTATGAAAAGTTTTATACTTGATTAAACTGTTATGTAAAAAATTACTGAATTAAAAAAATATTTATACAATTCAAATTGATGGTGAGCAGTTTACTTAATAATAAATGAATATTAATTCAAACATATGTTACAAAAACTTAAATTATGGAAGACTTGCGTAATATATATGTTTAATTAAACCCAAGGGGTTGACCTATTGGTAATGTGGGGATAATAAAATCCACCACACTTTAGGTTCGAATCTTCAGACCAATAACAAATGAAAAAAAATGTTTCTTTAATTGATACTTAAGAAATGACTATCCCTCCATAAGTTTTACGTAGTTTTTTAATTATTATGAAAGACTTACATAATGAGTTTTATTTCATCAATACATAAAGAAATAACTATTCTCATAAGTTTTAGATAATGTATTTTATAATTTAACTAATTATTATATAATGTTTACGTAAATCTTCCTTAAAAATGTGGTCTAATAGAAAAGAAATTAAGTTATGAAATTACAACATTTGATTAAATAATTATGTAAAAGTTAACCGACCTTAAGGAACTTTTGTGTAATGAAAAAGGGTGAAATGATCAACACTTTTGACATATAAATAATTTTTTGCATTATATTTATGTAGTATCTTAATTATCACGGAAGACTTATGTAAGATGTTTGTTTAACAACAAAAATGGGAAAAAATATCACTACTTAAGTTTTATGTAAAAATTATGAAAAGTATCACATTTGATTAAACCATTATGTAAAAGTTAACTGATCTTAAGGAACTTTTGTGTAATGCAAAAGGGTGAGATGGTCAACAGTGACGATAAAAACACTATCGGAGAGAATATCTTCATAAAATTTGGTATAGAGGATAAAAACTCAATATGAACAGCACTCGTTAAAATTTGGTATAGTGGATAAAAACACAATGTGAACAACACCCCGCTAAAAAAAAAGGTAACATTATCTCCTAACTTATGCTTTCATATATATAGAAAACCTAATTGTGGTTGTTGGTACCAACCCAAACAATTAATTTGTTAACCCTTTGAAACTATTATTAAAAACCTAATCGTAGATTTTGGTACTTGGAATGAACCTAAACAATTAATTAACCCTTAGCATGTGGACTTTGGTAGTTGGAATGAACTGAAACAATTAATTAATTAACTCTTTGAAATTTACCGTGAACCTCATTACATGGGATTAACTCTTTGCATGAACAGTGTTCTAAATAACCCTATTGAGCAGCCGTGGGGATTGGGGAAACTTACCACCCACCTATAATTAATCCTTAATTGCCTTGCGATAATATCGTAAGGAATAGTAAAATAAACTTGCAGTGTTAATTAATTAATTAATAATAATAGATGTGGTTCCCTCTGATCCCATCATCAGCATCTTTCTCTGGGTCGTAGGTTGCGGGAAGAGTGAAGGCCTGGTGGGACCCAACGAACACAGCGTACCCGCCTAGGTTTTCCACTCGGACCCAATCGATGCTGTTGGATAATGGTCCCTCAAACTCTGCTGCGAACAACTTGTAGACCTTGAATTGGACACCATGGTAAGAACGTTGATTGATGAGCAAGATTAGGAGGAGTCCGCCGCAGAGGTCGGCCAAGTAGTAATTGATTCTGCAAGGAGTAATATTCCAATCTGAGATGGAACAAGGGAGCGGGAACGACCACCTCTCCGCCTCCGCCTCCGCCGTGAGGTTGGAAAGAATGTGAACTTGCTCGCTGTCCACGACGCATAGGTAGTTTCCCCCCGACGTAGTTGGCGGCCTGGGCCCAGTGATTGAGGTACCATGATTCGCTACTCATCACCTTCCAATCATAATTACTACCGGCCTTGCACCACGCCAATGTGACGCTCAAACCCTTCAACACAAGGAACACGTGGCAATCCCCGGCAGCGTCAGGGGAGGAGCTGAGGACGCCTGTCATGACGTGCGCGGAAAGGGATTGGAGGGAGGGCGACGGTGGATTTGGTGATGGGGTTGAGGAGGTAGAGCTCGATCGGTGCGCATGGTTTGGGGCGCGTGACGAGGAGCCACCCGTCTTTGGAAGACAAGTAGATGTCGTTTTCGCCGTACCACAGTAGTCGTCGGGATGTGGAGTGAGGAAGGGTCAAGCGGGGAGGGATTCTCGGTGGCGGCGGAAGGTCATCGTAAAGCAGCAGCGCGGGTAACAAGTCCTCGAGAGTGACTCGCGCCCTCCAGCAATCCGGCGGCTGGGGATCACGATGACGAGGAGGAGGAGGAGAGGATTTGAAAATCATGGGAAGAGGGACGAAGTCATGCTTCTTACCGCGGGAGGGAATGGCCAAACCGCCACCCCACCCAGTGGTTTGGTCCAATTTTTTTTTTATAACCGCCCCTTAGTTCCGCGGTTTGCATAGAAAACTGCGCCCCCGCCCAGCGGTTTTCGTGTAAACCGCAGGGTGGGGTGGTGGTTTTCGAAAAAGGTGGTATTTTTGGAATTTTTTGGGGTTGGGTGGTATTTTTGGAATTCTTTTTTTAAACGGTGGTAGATTGTGATGAGTGATGAGTGTAGATGTAGACATGTCATTGCCCTACAAATTCTTTAGCACGCCAAAAAGTGGTGAAATGAGCCACCCTATTAAACTCAATATCGTATAATGATCGTTGGATCCAATCATGCCAGATTAAGAAGATGTTTAAACATGGCGCTTAAACGGACTAAAACGTTAAAGGAACCAATATCACTTAGTGTGATTGGTTATGATCCTTGCTTTTATTTAGAGTAACCATGGTTCAAATCCCAGTATCTGGTTTTTTATGAATAAATAAAAAAGAAATAAGCAATTGTGAAAACAAAAATGTTCTTCCTACTTTCACTCTCGTTACAGAAAATTTAAAATGGAGCAACATTTTTCCTCATTAAGCTATTATATTATGGGCAGATTAGAATTTTGTATGCAATATTTGAACTTGTGATATTTAAGCGGCAAATTTAGGGTTATCATATATTAATAAAAAAGATATAAATTTAAAATAAGTATTAAACTACAACTAAAATAATCAAAATATAAAAATTGAATTATCAAAACACCAAATAAGTATTTAAGGGAGATTCAGTAACCAATAAATCGTTGAAAAAGTCATATAATTTTCACATTTTGGGTTCGTGTAGGTTTTTAGTTTAAAAAGATACAACAAATATACTTAGTGTGATTGGTTATCATTGTTGATTGTTTTTAGAGTGACCATGGTTCAAATCCCAGTATCATTCTTTTTTAATAAAAAAGAAATAAGTAATTATGAAGACAAAAATGTTTTTACTACTTTCACTCTTGGAGCAACACTTTTCCTCATTCGACTATTATATTATAGGTAGATTCAAGATTCAACTCTTGTTTAATCAATTAATATTTTTTTTTATACAAATGAATGGTGTGTGTAATCTATATAGATTATGGAGGTATATATATATATATGGTGACTACTTCGGTACACTCACAAAAATGAGTGTGTTCAATACACCCAACTCAAAAACTAGTCTTAAGGTGTCGGATTTTGAATTTTAATTTGTAGAATCAGTGTAATAGATGATATAGTATATGATAACAACTAATTAACGGATTACCCTAAGCCCTAGACCTCCAATTTTAAATTCTATCACTAAAACCCAAATTGTAAACCCTAACCCTAACCATAAATCTCTAAACTTTAAATCCTTCGAATTAAAGTAAATCTTGAATTTTTTTTTGTGCAAATTCATGTGATTTATTGTTCATCACATCATAAGTGATTGCCATCATTTTGACATGAATCGCATGTTTAAAATGACGGTTATGAAGTGAGTGCACTGAATGCACCGAAAAAAGTGAGTGCGCTGAAGACGCCACCATATATCCTTACTACTTTCACTCTCGTTGCAGGAAATTTGAAATGGAGCAACACTTTTTCTCATTCGTCTATTATATTATGGGTAGATTCAACTCTTGTTTAATCAATTCATATTAATTTTTTTATTTTTTATACAAATGAATGGTTTGTGTAATCTATATAGATTATGGAGGTATATATATATATATATATATATCCGCCGCAAAGGCCTGAAGACACGTTATATATCACCCCTAAAATAAAAATACGAAAAATTACCAAATATAGTTATTAGAGACAAATATTTGTGTCTCCAGCTCTCCATATACTATTTTTACAAGCAAATAAAATTGCTTCAAGAACTATTATTACAAACCAACACATTCTCTAAATGCATTACCTATAAAAAAAGAGACTTCTATTTGTAAAATTAGAAACAAAAATATTTGCTTCAATTACTAGAGACAAATGATATTTGCAACTACATTTTTTTCTAAAAAGAATTAGAGACAGAGGCGTCCAATGCAAATAAGTTATCTGACTCAAAAGATATATAGAATAAAATAAAAGATATTTTGATGCAAATAATCTCAGTTCCTAAAGCCAAGTTTTCTTGTAGTGTTCTCCTCCTTCAACTTCTGTAAGACCAACCTCAAATGACTTTCATGTTCTTCCTGACTCCTAGAGTATATTAGGAGGTCATCGATGGAAACAATGACGAACTTGTCTAAATACTCATGAAGGACTCGGTTCATGAAGGTTGTTGGAGCATTAGTCAGCCCAAACGACATACCCAAAAACTCGTAGTGACCATACCGAGATTAATTTCCCTTCGTCACTATTCCGCAAAATTTTCCGTCCTCCTAGCTTAGTCCCCAAAAATTTTAAAAGAAGGGGCTTAACTCATCTTAACTAATTTAATAATCCATTGCATAAATTTCATAAAAATTCTCATGAATTTTACAAATATCTTACCTTTCAAAACTACAAATTCTGACTTCTAATAACTCAAAACATAAACCAAAATTATTAGCTATAATTTAAACCTTAATTAACCCCTTCTTCTTATTTAATTTAACATAACTAATTTTGAAGCCTATGCTACAAACGCCTAAAATTCGGGTTCTCAATTTTCTAACGTAGATACAATATTTTAGTTTCATCTAAAATTAACAATTTAATAAATAAATTCGTACATTAATTTAGTAAATTCAAACCGACATCATCTTAATTTTTATAACTAGCAATCGACTCCAAAAATGACCAAAACACTTTCTGGACAAACATACATGTATATATCTTCGAATAAAATTATACGAGGCTTTAAAACGAGCTTAGGGACAGACGAGAGTCGAGAACCTTACTGCTACTATTCCAGATGAAAAAAGCTATCATCGACGATGGTGATGGCGGTGTTGTGGTTGGGCTTCCGGGACGAGGGTATTGGTCGGCGTTGCTGGTGCTTGGTTGCTCTCGTGGGAAGGACGTGCACGTGATATTATTGTAAAGGGGGAGGTTTAATATTATTGGGGTGGGAAGGACGGGGCTAAGATGAGTTGACTAGGGGGTCCCTTAGTCACATTACTAATCCAATCTCAACCATTGAAACTCATTAAAATCTAATGGTTCAGATTTATCTACTTTAATAAAGGGTAAGGTGGTAATTACCTAATTTATTTATTTAAAAATTAAAATAAAATAAGAGCGTTGCCCCTCCACCCACCCCGTCCGCGACCGCCGTTCATTTTCTGAGAATTTCTCCCGGCGGTGGGATTTTCTGTAAGAGACGGCAGGGGATGATTTTCCGGCAACAGTGTTGGATTTGTGATGTTTGTCAACCTAATTTGTAATGTTTATAAGTATGATTTGTAATGTTTATACCAATTTGGTTTGTATTGTTTATTATTCTTGTTTGCCATCTTTCTCTATTACATTTTGTAATGTTTATATGATAATATTGTATATATTGTAATTTGTAATGTTGTTTGTCTAGCTTGTATACTTTTATGTTATGATTTGTATATTTTGTATTCATTAGTTTGTAATACAAGTTTACTGATTTGTATTGTAAGTAGTAATATTCTGTACGGTTAGTATGCTTTCTACTATTTGTCGATTTCATTTGTAATGTTTGTAAGCTTTGTTATTTTGTAATGTTTATTGGTTTCTTTTGTAATGTTTTTAAGCTTTGTTATTTTTATCCACCAATTTTTACATTTTTTCCAACTATGTTTGTAATGTTTTTATGCCTAAAAATAACCTGATTGACTTTGTAATGTTTGTTGTTCTGGTTTGTTATGGTTGTCATTATAGTTTGTAATGGTTATCAATCTGCTTTATAATATTTTATAGGATTGATTTGTAAACATCACAATTTGTAATAAAAAGATAGTAACAAAGTACCCAAAACATAGTAAGAGTACAAAGTATTAGTACTTACAATACAAACCGGCATGACTTGCATCACAAATCAATACATATAAAGTATTCAAAATTAATATTACAAAACATACAAACTATACAAATCATATTTACATTATGTACAAAAATACTAACAATACAAACTGACAACACTTGCATTACAAATCATTGTTCTTCCCTCGGACGACTACGAAGTCGAGAGATCTACCGCCGCCGCCGACTCTCTCCACCGCCGCCGCCGACTCTCTCTACTGCCGTCACCGCCTCTCTCACTCCCTCGCCGCACCGCCTCTCTCTCCTCCACCGTGCCGCCGCTCTCTCTACGCCACTTCCTCTCTCTCCTCCACTATCAAATCTCACAACAACGGCCAGGTCTGCTTTCTCTCTCTCCAACGTTGCCGCCTCTATCGCGATCTCCTTTCCCTCTCTCCACCGTCGTCGGCGCCGTCGAGGTCTCCCTTCTCTCCATCGTTATCGTTGCCCCTTTCTCTTCCATCGTCGCTATCGTTCTCTCCCCCATCGCAACATTTCACTCTCTCATGTGGGCAGCGCTGGCAACACAGAAGAAGACAGGTTGGAGGAGGGGGGAGTTAAAATGAATTTTTTCATAATTCCAGAATTGCCCCTCTCATTATTTAATTACACCCTGCTCTTTCCAAAAGTCAAAATGACTATTGTGCCCTTTGTTTAATTTGTCAAGTTCCATCATAATATCAATGAGAACTAAAAATGCTAACTCTCAGTTATAACGGTGTTGAGTTTCGACATAAAATGAAGAAGTTATGGACGTTTTAACTGAGTTTCGGATTAAACTCACCTTACCCGTAATTAGGAAACGTCTAAAATAACCCGGACAATTAAACCATAAGAAACCCCCAACCCTACTCGGCTACACCTGGACATTTAAATACCACCTAAAAGAAAAGAAAAGGTTGCACCACCGCCAAAAGGAGAAGCCGGAACTGAGAGAAGGGATCAGGTTTCCGTAGCCTGGACGGGGTGTTCATTTCTCAAAATCAACTGGTATAAAGGTACTCGTGGCTTTACTCTCTCAATTTAGTGGTGATTCTGA